TCTGAACTTCAGTGGTGCGGACCGCATGAACTTGCAACGCGGCCGCATTGGTTGGAACTGAGAATGCCACTCTCTGAACTTCAGTGGTGCGGCCGCATGACATGATGGTGCGGTCCGCACCAAGTTCTGAATATCCATGCTTTCCTGATCTTTGATACTTGAGCAGGTTTCACTCCGTTTCGAGCCGATTTTTGACTTTCGTCACCTTGTTGCTCAAACCTGCGATCAAGCGCAACTTATAAGCATTCTGAGTATATTTTATGGCAAATCATACATAAAGCATAGGCAAGTATGGGCATAAAACGTGTCAAAATCACAGTTATCAATAATGCCGAGACGACATCTAACTCGAGAACCCCTACAGATTTTTGTACCGTGTGTCTGCCCATTTCTCCTTGCCAATCGAGATTGCTTCTGGAGAATTTGTTCAATATTGCATAAATCTCATCAAAGATTTTCTCCAACACTTGACCTCCAGCTGCAGCATCTATCACAATCTTTGTTTCGGGATATAGACCTTCTATGAAAGTGTGAGCTAATACTTCTCTTGTCTGATTGTGATGAGGACAGTCTCTGATTAGCCCCTTGAACCTCTCCCAAGCCGAGTATAGAGACTCCCATGCTTTCTGTTTGAGGGCGACTATCTCACTTCTGATCTTTGCAGTTTTGCTTGAAGGGAAGATTCTTGCCAGAAATTTCCTTGCCAAATCATTCCATGATGTAATAGAATTAGCTGGTTCTGCCTTCAGCCATGGCTTTGCTTCGCCCAATAGAGAGAATGGAAAAAGTGTGAGCCTCGCATAGTCTGTAGTGACTCTGTTAGTGATATAAGTATCATTAATCTCCAAGAAGTTCAGGATATGCTGTTGTGGATCCTCATGTGGAAGACCCATAAACTATCTATTCGCATGAAGTAGCTGGATCATGCTCTGTTTTAGTTCAAAGTGCCCAGTGATTCTGGGCTTCACAATGATGGAGGTAACATTAGTAATGCTGGGCATCGCCACCTCCTGAAAAGCCATGTGTTGCTCCTCTGCCATGTTCACAGGAAATTGAACAAGTGCCTGAATATTATTCGTGTCCTTTGCTTCCCTCAACCTCCTATGAAATGTTCTCTCTGGTTCGGAGTCAAAGCCTTGAAGTCGGTCCTGGCTTCTGACCCTGCGCATTCAATCAAAGTTCCTGAGATCAGAGCAACAATCAAGTAAGGTTAGACTTGACGAAATAAACAATATAAGCAAAGCTCAAAAGTAGTCAATATTCAAGTCCCCGGCAACGGCGCCAAAAAGTTGTTGCTCCCAAACGCACACGCAAGTATACGTGGTCGTACAAGTAATAAAATGATAAGTCAAGTGTCGAACCCACAAAGACTTGTATCAACTACCCACTAAAATCATCAAGATTGTTATTTAGTCAAGCCAAAATCAAGTTCAAGAATGTGATTATACTAAATTATAATTCTAAGTAATAACTAAATTAGCAAGTAGTAAAATGATTGTTATGTATTCAATAGAGACAAATATTCCAGGGTTGTGATCGATTCACTAATCCTATTGTGTTCTAGTTAACTCTCCCTTTCATACAATTCACTCATGGTTGCTAATTAATCGATAATTGCTCTCATAGCCTTCTCCCGAAGTACTACTCGCCTATTCAAAATAGATTAACGCTTATATTCCTATGAAATCAATCTATTAACAATGTATTAAGATTATAATAATTAATTAAGCACTCTTACTAGATATATTCCTATCCTAACCACAAATCCCCCCCCCCCCCCCAAGAGTTAAGATCGTGCTCTCTTCAATCTTCTCTAATCTAAACACGGCTTTCCCAAGCATGGAATAGATAGTAAATAGAACCTAACTGTTGGCCAGACAATTAAGCAATTAATCACAGAATTGAAGAAACAACCATATATTAGTGAATTGTAATTAAGTTTAAGTCAACGTTAAACAATAATATTCATAGCTAAATCACAACCCCAGAACTATGGGTTTTTAGCCACTCATGATAATGGCAAACAATTGCATAAGTTTTGGATAATTGAAAATACTAAGAAAAGATGAAGAAATCTGAGATGTTCTTGCTCCCGGATGTTTCTTGTGTGTGTTCTCCCTCCAAAGTGGCGTCCTCCTTCACAAATAAGTTTAGTCTTGCTTTTATACGTGTTGGGTAGGTCTAGGGCCGAAATAACTGTGTCCCCGGTGAATTTGGACAAGATTCACGCCACCGGCGCCCTGCCCAACGCCAGGAGCCTTCAATGGCGCTGTAAAATTTTTGCTACTGACTCTGGCGCCACAGGTAGGGCTAGGCGCTGCAATTTTCAATTTTCATGTTTTCGTCCGTTTTGGCTCTAATTTGGCACATTTCGCCCCCAATTGCTCTCGGATCATTCCTACACATAAAATACCTCAAATTAATATAACTCAACACATTTTACATCCTAAATCCATGAAACAAAAGTAAAACATGAGGCGATATACATATAAATATATATACTTTAAGCTAAATATCAACAATAATGATAAGAAATTGAAGAGACTAAACACTATTATCACGATAAAGGCTATTCATTATGAAATGTTTTTACCTTTTTACACAATAATTTAGCTTCTAAAGTGTATAATAAGACTAAGGGTATAAAAGTCCACCAACTTTTGGTGGACATTTTGGTAATTCAACTTTGAATTAGGAGCTTCCCACTTATAATATAGTACTAGTTTCACTGTACGTGCGTTGCACGTGTATGTCGAGTCATGTAGTATACGATATAAAATATTATCAATATTATTAAAATAAAATTTAGTTAATAATTATACATGAAAGAATAAAGCACAAGTTTCTATAAATGATCAAATGATCGTATATGTTTGAACCTATAAAGATTAATAATTAAAGTTTAATTAGATACATATGACATTTTAACTTACTTTGATTTTATGAGGTTACAAACATGTGATGAAGCATACTGCATGTATCACCTACTACATTCTTATAGACGTTGTTCATGGTATATGTTCATCTCATCCATTTAGGTTGCTTCGTCATGACCATGATTTTGTTGCCGATATTGCTGTCTTTTTTGGTGTGCAATGTGAAGTTGGTCATGTGTAAAAACATGTGTGGTAGATACAATCCAACATTGAAAAATATTAATATATAAGCCTAGTTCATATGTTTACCACATTGAAAATAATCTTTCACATAATTTTATTATATTCATGTAACAAAATTGTACATATCAATCGATCTATTTCATTTGATTAAAAAAATAACAAAATTAACCTTTAGCGACATGTTATTCAAACTACCACATGCATGCAATTTAAAAAATATTTTCACGAGATATCATATAATGAATATTCTATCCTAATATTGTTTCATACATCACAAATGACATATAATAAAATAAAATTAAAAGTAAAGAGAGTAAATAAGTAGAACCTATTTATGCTTCCACCTTCTTTGCTTTCTCACTTTGGAGATGTCTGTCTTCCTATTGTAATTTGACAACTCTATTCTCAAGGAAAATTGTTGGTGTCTATATTTCTTTTGTGTAATGCCAAGTGACGCCATTCTTTCACCTTATGTCTTCTCTGTGTTTCTAAACCAATTTGAATAGGTTGCCGAAGTGCCAATTTAACTCTATGTTGGAGAAGGCCAGTACAACCACAAGCATCCAATATAATCAGAAATCATATATAGTGGATAGAAGATATGTGATACTTTGTACTGAATATTTGTTGTTCTCATGTATGGTATGGAGTTACTCTATTTTTAATGTATGGAATCACAATCACTTGAATGCTAAATTATGTCATACGGAGTTTAAAATAAGGACCATATGTATAGTCTTTTATCCTTCCATGTACTTTAACAACATCGTAAAAAACTTTATTCGCCTTCAAATACTAGCATCTTACTGATTTAATTTGTTATAAACATGGTTACCGAAATCGTCTGGCTATTTTTGTTGTGAATCAGAATGATCTGGATTGCGATCTTCAGCATTGAATTTTTCTCTTGCACAAAGAAGATCTATTGATTTGGAATACTACTATCCTAAAATTAGTATAAATATATTTAAAAAAATACTCTTAAAGGGTAAAATTGTGTGAGAGAACTTCAACGAAAATATAGATCTTTAGGATACTAATGTAGCTGCACTCCTTAATTTCTTCTAAGAACTCAACTCAATAGGAAGAAGGTGTTTTTGGAAGAATTAGTAAGGAACAAAGAAGAGTTGACAACAACTTAAGATAGTGGCTAATTAGGTTATCTCATGCAGAAAATCGGATGAATGTCTAAGGGAGTGACTATTGCTATGTATATTACTAAGTGTTTAAATAGATAAGACTCTTTCCTTTCATAAAGTACTGGTTATAAACTTACAAAAAAAGGATATGTTAGTATACAATTGAAATGACACCAACGTTTTTAAGAAAAGACATCAAATAATTTTCTGCTCTTTACTCTTTATTTTGTACACATATACACAACATAAGAGAAAGTAGCTAATAGCTATTGGTATGGGTCAGATGTATTCATTACTAATTTGAAGTATTCTAAGAGACACAAACCTTCAGAATAATTTCCTCCTTCTTTTTATTTAAATATTATTATTAGTATATTATTAATTTTTGTGAATAAATAGGGTATTTTAATTTTTAAAAGGTTATTTTGGTAATTTAACTTTTCAGTTAAGGCCTTCTTACTTTTAATATAATAATATAATATAATATAGAATATAGATGATGATTCAACTTTGAATTAGAAACTTCCACTTATAATATAGTATGATATGATTATTATTACTAATTGATATAAATATAGTAAAAAAATCATAGTCAAGAATAAAACTTAAATGTTGGAAAAAAAGAATAAGAATAAAACTTTATATAGAATTAAAGGACAGGTGTCAGGTGCAGGAAGAAAACCGCACCTTATCACCATTTCTTTTTATTGTGGAGGTGCCCACACGTCCCTTAAATCATTTTTAGCGTTGAATTAAAATACCCGCAATAATATTTCCCATTTTCATCTGCTCTTCTCACTGTTCAACTTCTAACATCCTACTTTGTCTTGACTCACAAAGATTCAGCCATAGACTTTGTGCTCGATGAGATTTTCATCTGCGTTCTTTTTTCTCAGCTCGATGAGATTTTTCTGATATGAGAAACAAGTGAAGTTTGGAGGGCAGTAAGTAAATAGATGGAGTCAAAGCCATTGAGACTGATAACCCATCAATCATTTTTCAGAGCCATTGGATCTGGAGACCTTGAGTCTCTCAAAAACATCATCAATAATGAAGGGTTGGATCCATCTTATTCTCTGTTGGGCTTACAGAACGATGCAGGTGAAACTGCTTTGTATGTTGCTGCTGCCAATAACTTCCAGCAGATTGCAAGTTATTTGCTTGGATTCTGTGATTTGGAGACTGCGTTGATCAGGTCCAAAGCTGATTTCAATGCATTTCATGTTGCTGCAAAAAATGGCCACTTGGGTATGTATATATTCTTTGCTCTTTTAAACTATTGCTATTGTTCATAAGCTACCTGCTAACAAATCTTGTTCTTCATTGTGTGCTTAGATGTACAAGCATTCTGTGATCTGTTTTTGGACCTTTTTTTTGGTTTTGGGGTGGGGGGTTACACAGTTCTTGACTTTGTTGGTCAATTATGCTCAATAGAGTATGATAAGGTCAATTATCAGAAATCTTGAAGCAAAACCATGAATTATAATGTTAATTTGTTATCTTTTTATATTTTAAATGATCTAACTGTAAATCATTTATCTAGGCGAATTTTTATTCCCAAAAGAATCATTTAGTTCATGAGGAGAGTATTNNCCCCCCCCCCCAAAAAAAAAAGGAAAAAAGCATGTGTTTCGTTACTTACAATTTCAAATTTTCAATTATGTTTCATTGGTTTATTGATAAGCTAGACCTATTTAATCTTTTGAGATCATATGCAATCCGAGTATCGGATCCAGGTACTTGTGATACTTTCTGTTCTTTGAAATGACAGTGGTGATGTTCGTGTTTTTATTGCTGTTCAAAGGATCGTCTAATCCTCAGTCTCAAACTAATTGGGTCTACTTTATTGAAGTAACCGATAAATAGGACTGTTTTTTCTATTATTGTTCTTTAATTGAGAAATTTAAGAGCTAGCAAGAAGTGCCTGACATGCTCAATTGTAAATTCTTACATTTTGGCCTTTACTGTTGAGTCTTGAGTACCTTACTAGTCCCAATGTTCGTGTATTTGGAGGATGCTTGACGGTATAAAGCTTATTCTGTCATTTACAGGTATTGTGAGGGAACTTTTGGCCATGTGGCCTGGACTTTGTAAAGTATGCAATGCCTCAAATACAAGCCCTCTTTATTCAGCTGCTGTCCAGGGACATTTGGATGTTGTGAATGCCATTTTAGATGCAGATGTGAGCTCCATACGAATTGTTAGGAAGAATGGAAAAACTGCACTGCACACAGCTGCTAGGTATGGCCTTCAACATATCGTGAAAGCACTTATAGAGCGAGATCCAGATATAATATCCATCAAAGATAAAAAGGGTCAAACTGCACTTCATATGGCTGTTAAAGGTCAAGATACTTCTGTGGTGGAGGAAATACTGGATACGGACAACTCAATATTGAATGAGCGTGACAAGAAGGGCAACACAGCGCTGCATATAGCCACACGGAAATGTCGTCACCAGGTATCTTTTTATCTATTCTGTTAAAGTTATAACATGACTCTTGCTATTCTGAATATCATGAAGTTAAGGGTTTTCTTTTGCACTCAATTTCCTGAGCAATGCATTTTATTTGTACCTAAAATCCAGTTCTTAAACTGTCAATGTGTTCTTAATCCTTTCTTTTTCTTCTCATTGTTAACTAAAATAGGCAATAGAGGTTTATGCAAGATAGATTTCCTGGAGAATGATGTAGAACTAAAAGAAGGAAAAATATCACCGGTTGCAGAATCTTGCAGAAAGTAGGGGCTGAAGTTTGACCGGGAAGCTTGCAACATTGATGACTGTTATAAGGACCTTCATTGGTTAGACTTGGATATAGATAATGCATAAAGTAGAGAAAAGAGCTAGTATTTGGAGTGGTGGTAGTTAGTAAGGAAGAAAGGACGAGAAGTGAAAAAAGCAAATAAAATGAGAAAAACATGTTTTAGTGAAAGGAAACTAAGACCGTGCAGCCAAGGGTGTGGCTTGACTATCGATGAAGTGGGTTGAGAATCTTGAGTTCTTAGGTTCAAATCCTAGCAGAGTACCTGTGAAAGGTAGCAGGTACCTCATGGAATTAGTCGAGGTGCGCGCAAGCTGGTAGGGACACCATGGTTATAAAAAAAATGAAAGGAAACTAAGACCTTCATTTACACACACAACGCACGTGGAATATGGCTCTATTCTACAATGGACACACATGGGTGATAGGACCAGAAAACTTTTCTTATTGATGTAGTATCCATGCTATGTGATTTGGGCTTCCAAGTAATTATATTTTCTTCTCATGCTTTTGCTGCCATATCAGGTATAAAAGGTTTTCTAGTGCTCAACCATACCAGAAAACTACATCTTTGACTATAAGATTCTTAAAAGGTGAGTGAAAAGGCTAGTGGAGAAGAACGTATGAATCCTTACAATGTTTAACCTTTTACACACCATGGAAAATGCGCCTTAACAATATCTAAACCTTTTATGCTTGATCAGTAGATATGTTTTGTAATAATAGATTTGGAGCATGTCATATGACGCTTAATTATACTAAGTACCATTAAGGACTTCTTTCTTCATTATTTCTCTTTAAGAACTTCCATAAAAACATCACAACTTGTGATTCACAAGGAGTACTTCTCAGCAGTTTTCTACTTGGAAAAAGCAGATGTTAAGAGCAGTGATGTGAATGAAAAGGCTGCTTTGTCTGAATATAAATTGGAACACTGGTGTACATGTTCCCACTATCTGGTGGCATGATTGATTTAAGTGAATTTGGAGCATGCTACTCATTTGGAGCAGTTCTATTAAAGTTCTAGTCCCCAAAGTAGTGAGCATCTTCATTTAGGAAGTGTGTTACATCAATCCCTTCTTTAGTTATTGTACCTGAATCAAATGGGTACAATATAGGTGTAGTTACTCTGTGCAGATTCTTTGAAATGCACTAAAAGTTGTCAGAAAGATGCACATACCTGTCTAGGATACCTACATGAAGTCATGAACCCATACCGCATACGTATGTTATGTCTAGGTAACATAGTTTTGGAACACATTCAGGAGACAGTCCTTACGACTTTCCAATATTTTTGGTCTTTTTTGGACCCTAGGAAGTTTTCACAGTAGTGAAAATGAATAGTAACAGGAGAAGAGACGAATAAAACTTCATGATAAGAATTTTGGGACATAGTTTCATCATCTAAGTGGATCGAAGTTACAAAGTTGAGGAGAAACTCAAAACATCCTAGTGATTTATACAGCTAAAGTGAAAATTTTCATGATGGAACAGAGGGGAAATTTTTATGCAAAGAAAAATGTGGAGTTTTTAGTTCAACGACCAATTTATTATTACACTACACACATCATTGATTAGGACATATAATGCTGAAAAATCTGAAATGATGCAGTCTGACATTACCATTTGGTTTCTATAGATTTCTTAACTGTAAAGCTGCAGCCAGACTGAACTGACTCTCAATGCTTCAGTTTCGTAATTGATGGTTTTCTCTTTTGTTCCAAAACATTGTGCGCCAGCATAGACTTTAGCATATACTTTACCACTGATGGCAGATAAATCACTTTTGTGCATATAATGACTATATATCGTACATCCTGCACTACTTTTATTGTGTTGTCTGAGGAGTTGCATTTTCCTACCATTGTTGGTTTTTATTTGTTTGTATCCTTATGATGTACCTTTGTTTCAGATCGTAAGCCTTCTGCTCACTTACACGTCCCTTGATGTCAATGCAATTAATAACCAAAAGGAAACTGCAATGGACTTAGCAGATAAACTACAATATGGAGACCCGAGTTTGTTAATTAAGGAAGCCCTGGCTGAGGCTGGTGCAAAACATGCCAGATTTGTGGGTCAATTTGATGAAGCATCAGAACTTAAGAGGACTGTAAGTGACATTAAGCATGAGGTGCAGTCCCAGCTTATACAAAACGAAAAGACCCGAAGGCGTGTTTCTGGTATTGCTAAAGAACTTAGGAAGATTCATAGAGAAGCTGTTCAAAATACCATTAATTCTGTGACTGTGGTTGCTGTTTTATTTGCCTCTATTGCTTTTCTGGCTATATTCAGCTTGCCAGGCCAATATCTGGAGACTGGTCCTGAAGCAGGAAAGGCCAGAATTGCCGATACTGTTGCGTTTCGTGTGTTCTGCCTCCTGAATGCTACCTCTCTCTTTATATCTCTCGCTGTTGTCGTCGTTCAGATTACTCTGGTTGCCTGGGATACTAGAGCTCAAAAACAAATTGTCTCAGTCGTGAACAAGTTGATGTGGGCAGCCTGCGTTAGTACTTGCGGAGCATTCTTAGCTGTTGGTTTCGTTGTTGTAGGGAAGAAAAGTTCATGGATGGCAATCACTATTACTGTGCTTGGTGCACCAATTCTTATTGGAACGCTGGTTAGCTTGTGCTACTTCGTTTTCCGACAGCATTTTGGAATATGTGGTAGTGATTCTCAAAGGCGTATCAAAAGAGCAAGTGGGAGCAAATCTTTCTCGTGGTCATACTCTGCACATATTTCTGATTTGGATGACTACAACTCTGATGAGAAAATTTATGCTCTGTGACATTGTGGCATGTTCTATCTGAAAGAGTTTTACTACATAATCACGGCTTTCCACATATCGTTAAAACCTACTCCTAACAAGTTGCTGGATCAAAATGGCTTTCCACGTATCGTAGGGACGAGATATATTGAAAGTGTAATGATACTCTGTTTACACCAGTGTCCCTTTTTTGTGTTAAGATCCCATGTCATCGAGAAGGGGTGTTTGGTCAAGATACACATGCATCAGGTATTCATTTTGAAAACAATGCAAGAAAATTCCTCCTATTTTTTTTTTGCTCATAGCGCGTGGTATGATGAATTGGAAAAGTAAAATCTGGAGCTGGTAGTTAGTTGTATAGGTTAAGCTTTGCTTCAGTCCTTCAGGATGTCCATTTATATAAGGTCATCTGTTTCTAATAAATACTTTTGTGGTGTGCACCCATTTGATGTAGAATAAGAGTATGAATTGAGGTTTGTACATACTAGTGCAGGACTCAATAAAAAGCTTGTAAGTTTGTTGGAAGAAACTATAGCATAACAAGATTTGTTTTACAGCAGCAGTGTTACTATTATTTTACTGAGACTGGATTGAGGTATGAAAATGAACAGCTATGTCTTTTTCTAGCCCTGAAAGGGTTGAACATATGTTGCTTCTTGATTCTGTTTATTATTTAATTATAAGCACCTTAACACAGCTCAGAAAAGCATATATTAAAAAATATACAACTTGAATAAGCATGCTCTGGAAGTAACATGAGGAGCATTACAAAAGAAATCTTAGGAGGAGAGAAGTCTCTTTAAATTCCAGCCAGAAAGACCTTGGTTATGCATTACCAGCACATGAAGCAGAGTGACAGAAAGTCCATTGTAAAAATTTACTCATAGCCAATGTTTACACTTTACAGCAAAATCACCAAATGCAAGACGTGCATCTTTCACATTTTTATTACTTAATTATGGTTAAATAATAGGGACAATACATAAGTCCTCATTAAGCTTGTCCAGAAAACATGTTTGAACACTTAAGCGAAACGGGTGATTTTTTTACCCCCTAAACGTATTTGGAATGAATTGTTTTTCCTCCCTGAAATACTAATACCAATCTCACAATATGAGGTGTTTTACACGGGCGCGCGATGCCAAAACCATATCAGCGCCACGTCGGAAATATTTTTATCTTTGGTAAGTTTTCCTCTTTTTCTTGTTCTGGTTTCTTACTCATAATTTTACACTAATAATCCAAGTTTAGTGCTTAATATAACCATCATCTCTCTCTTCAATCATGAGTAAGAATTTAGATTCAACAAAATCTTAGTATTTCTATTTCTTCAACAAAATAATCACAATACCTACAGACACAACTCCAATTGCTTCTCCGTCCCGTTCCTATATCTGAAATGCTCCTTTAATTTTTTCCATTTCATTGCCACCCATTGACACCGACACCACTGTATTTCTTGTCGGAGATATTAAATTACAGTGTGGTAAGTCGACAACGATGATGCATACGAATTTCATTTTGTTTATTCGTCGAAGCGATGTAGTAGCACTGGTCCTAGCTGCGGCTTCATTCTCTTGTTTCGTCCTTTACAAAGGGGACTGAAACATTGGGTTCAGAATATATGAATTTACGTAAATTCTTTCGTCTTATAATTTAGTACAGATCTGTATATTAATTAAAAAAAATTTGCTAAACTTATTAAAGAAAAGAAGTAGGAAAAAAAAGAAGAAAGAAAGAAAACAAAACCGATATGAAGAAGAAAGGAGGAAAAGGAGAAAGAAGGGCCTGTTGAAGAAGAGAAAAGAAGGGGCCACCTTTTTATATTTTTACTAGATCGGAAAAGGTTCAATAATATCCCTAAACTATGGTATACAGCTCACTTTTGTTCTCATTAGTAAACTGGGCCAGAAATATCCCTCCCGTTAGCAAAATGAGCCACTAATGCCTTCAACCTAACAGCCCTCCACACAAGCCTTCATATCAGCATTTTATAGCTTACATGGCATCCACATAAGCTGTGAAAAGGCATCCACATAAGCGGGGCCACATAAACCCGCTCCGATATCCAAATAAGCGGACCTAAAAATGCTAAGGCAGTAACCACAAGGTCCAAACCCCATTTCCAAACAAAAGCCCAAGTTCTTCCATGTCCGTTCTTCCATGGCGATTTGAGAGTTGAAGGGATGATAAGATCGAGCAAGGTTTAACAACACAAATTGAAGATCATCTGAAGATATTCAGGTAATTTTCCCTTCTATTTATTGGGTCTTTGTCTCGAACAAAGGGATTATTCAATTTTTTTTTTCTGTAATTTTCTAGGGTTTTATCATGTTCTGGTATTTGTGATCCTGACTTCTAGTGTATAGTGTTTGCATGTGGGTCTGATACTCTTTTTGTTTGTTATCTTTGTTGTTTCCTTATGTGGTGTCAATTTGTGCCCTATGTGTACATCGTCTTTGGCTGCAAGTGTCCTTTTCACATATTTTATCATAGTATGGTAGGGTTGGGTTGTTGAAATCGACAGAACCATGTGCATTTCTCCCTCTTTTCTTTTTTCTGGTCCCTTTTTTCTTTCTTTTCTGATTATGCATGTGCTTGACTATTATGTTTAATTGAGGTTTCATGATTNATTCTTTCCACTATATTATATACAGTAATTTATTGTATGTTCAATATTTTATTGTCAAAGTTGTTAAATTATTCATGTGGTCCCTCTATGTTTTCTTCTGTGTCTATATTATAGATATTTCAATATGGGGGACCACGAAGAGCCAATTTTAGGTCAGTATCAGTGTGAATTAGGTACTGATTGTGAATCTGATAGTGATAAAAGTTCATATTATGGTTCAGATGCTAGTAAATATGATTTTAAAGAATTAGAGTTACTTAGGATGCAAAAGGGTAAATAAGTTAATGATAAGCTTAGTCACTACAAAGAGCTTCATAAGTCTATGACATTTAAGGACTTGGAAGAGGCCAAAAAAATCATGAACTTCTATGCTATTGCAAATTCCAAACCTTTGAAGCTTAGAAAAAGTGATAAAAGGTATAGATGTGTAGTAGGATGCCCTTTTGTATGCCTCATCTCTGAAGATAAGAAGGGTCCTGACTTTAAGATAAAAACAATGAAGACAAGGCACAACTGTGAAGATGCATTTGAGAATCCTAGAGCCAAAACAAAAACTTTAGCTGAATATTTCAGGAGTAAGGTGCAGAATAACCCCAAGTACAAGATAAAGGATATGAAACTAGATTTGAAAAATCAATTTTCATTGAATGTACATAACTCTACATTGAAAAGGGCTAAGAGGATGGCAGTTCAACAATTCCAAGGAAGCTTTTTAGATGACTAACAGATTAGAAGCATATGCAAATGAGATTAGGGAGAGCAATCCTGGTAGTGATGTGGTTATCAATTTATCAAAAGATGCCATGGCTGAAGGTAAAAGAAGATTTCTTAGAATGTACATATGCTTCTATGCAATGAAGTAGGGGTTCAAACAAGGGTTGAGACCATTCATTGGACTAGATGAGACTTTCTTAAAGGGTCATTGCAAGGGGCAATTATTGGTGGCTGTTGCACAAGATTGTCAAAATCATTTCTATCCCTTGGCTTGGGTTGTAGTTGACAAGGAAAACACCTTGACATGGACATGGTTTCTGGAGCTGCTGAAACACTCATTGAATCTGAAAGATGGAACCCGCATTACCTTTATGTCTGATATGCAAAAGGTACAACTTATGATTTTTCTAAACTGATTATTCCAGTTATTTTTAAGTTATTATATAGTTAATTCTGTTTAAATTTACATGTGCAGGGTCTGTTGAAAGCAGTGAGAACCGTCCTCCCTCTCTCAAATCATAAGTTTTGTGTGAGGCATATTGAAGCCAACTGGAGTAAGAGGATCAGAATTTCAGGAGAGATGAAGAAATACCTATGGTGGTCTGCTTGGAGCACTTATGAGGAGGACTTTAAAGATAAACTAAAGAGTCTTGGTGAATTGTCTGTTGATGCTGCCAAGGAGTTGCTTAGGTATTCAGCACAGAATTGGTGTAGGTCCTACTTTGATACATTGTGCAAAAATCAGATGGTGGACAAATAATTTTACAGAGTCCTTCAACTCTTGGATCTTAGAAGCAAGAGGCAAGCATATCCTGAAGATGCTTGAGGATATTAGAATCAAGGTCATGAATAGGTTGAGAGAGAAGGAAGAAGAAGCTAGAACATGGGGAGGTGAGTTGATGCCTGTTAGAGGTGAAAAGTTCTGGAAAGTATTACCAGAACATGCTATGGACCCTCCTCCACTTGCCAAAACTGTTGGAAGGCCAAAAGTCAAAAGAAATAAGGAGAACGATGAGGCTAACAAGAGACAAGGAGATTGGGCTGCATCAAGAAGGGGAACTAGAATGACATGCAGCATTTGTGGTGAACTGGACCACAATTCAAGGACATGCAAGGTACTTGCTTCTTAACTTATCTTTCTTCTTATATAATTGCAGTTATTTAAAAGAAAGTTTTTCTTTTTAATAGGTTGGTGCTGAAGGAAATGTTGAGGATGTTAGTCGTTTAGCCCCTCAACCAACTCAACCAACACAAGAAGGTGACATGAAAGTGAATTTGTGTTCATGCCTACACCAAGAGTACCAAGACACCAAATAGAACCCTTTGGTGATGGTAGTGAGCATGAAAGTGACCCTACTTTAATGCCTAAGATTATTTCTGAAGATCAAACACGACTACTAATGAGGCAACAACAATTGACCTCAGCAGGGACAAGAGTCATCTCTTTCAGAGGAGATCATACTGGTGTCAGTTATCTCCCCAATCATCCTTACTCACCTACTAAGCTCACTTGGAAAGGCAAAGAAGCTATGACTGGAAATCAATTGGAAGTGGCAAGACAAAAGAAAGTTGGGAAGTTGAAGTGTAGGAAACTCAATGGGAACTCACAAATCTAGGGATCTTGGTTATTGTATGTAGTTGCAAATCTGCAAACTCACAGAACCCTTTTGTTTTGATGTTTTGGTTTCTACTGTAAAAACAGTAGTGCTGTTTGATTTAGTACTTGTTTTGTAAACATGTCTTGATGGTTGGACAGTGTTATTTTGTAGCAGCAGTAAACTAAAATTAAATGCAGTGCTGTTTGGTTTAGTAGTTGTTTTGTAAACATGTTCTGATGGCTGGACAGTGTTGTTTTGTAGCAGCAGTAAACTAATATTACAGCAGTGCTGTTTGTTTTTATATTTTACTGGACAGTGCTGTTTGGTGATATTTTGCACAGCAGTGCAATTGTTTTGATATTTTGCACAGCAGTGATATTTTGCAGTAAATTCTGTTTGATTTAGTTTGCACAGCAGTGCTATTTGTTGCAGCTGTTTTGACAGTATTTGTTTTGTTGCAGTTGTTTTTATAGTAGCTGTATAGTTGCAGCTGTTTTTGTTCAGGTTGTTACATAGCAGTGCTGTTGTTATGGTACAGCAGTGTTGTTGTTATGCTTTCACTAATTTAGCTACTGCTTTCACTGATGGCTCAACAGTAAGGGCTATACTACTCAGAGGAACTTTTGGTCCAAGATATGC